AAGTAGATAGCTGCTTCTGGAAAAGAGAAATTCTTTGTATTGCAACTCGATTTCTCCTCTCAGCAGGATCTCAGTGCTCTTTAAGGTGCTGGTGAACACAAAAGGGAGCCCACCCCACTCCAGAACACATGCTGGGGAGTAAACACACTGCTGTATGACTTGTCTGTAGTGTGGGCGTGTTTACTCAGACCCTGGCTGAGATCCACATGGGGCTGGGTGCTGTGCACCCTGGGTCCAGAGGCAGTTGCCCCAGGGAGCTTACAGTCCTGGTGCTGCATGATTATTGCCAGCTTGGTGTGTGTCCTGAGCCTGATGGACCACCTCTCTTCAGCGGCTGTGCTGAGCTGTTGTCCAAGTACTTGTTTAGTCTGTTCTCAAGCCATTTCACCTCTTCTGCGTCATATACTTTGGCAGACAGTTCCACAGATCTGCTGCACGTTGCATGGAAATCCACCTCCTGTTTTTGTATCTGGAAACAAGGACCCAAGGAGAAAATAAAAGGGCAGTAGCAGATGGCAGATCTTTTATAGCCAAGCAGACTGTAAGACTCCCATATTGACCCAGACTCATTTCTAGGGTCTCAGGTTTCTGGGATGCTGAGCAGAGGTTGTTTCCTTCCTTCTCTCTGCCATTTCAGCAAGCCATCTCCTGTGCGTGAGGCCTGGTCGCAGCTGCATGCCTCCCCTCTACCCTTGCACAACGATCAGGGGGAGTGCAGATTCATGCTGTCTTTCACCTACCGGTTTTGGAGACACCTCTGTGCCTTGGGGCTGCTTGGACATCAGGGGGCCAAGCCCATCCTGTATCTTTTGACTTACCAGTTGTTGTTCAAAGGGAAAAAAAATGCTTTTCAGGGAAGGATGGACAGGATGGGGAAGGCCTGGTGGCCACAGATGCTGGAGGCTTTCCTGAGGGCTTATCAGGAAAACGTTAGCACTGCTTGGCCCGTTGAAAGCCCTTGATGGCTTCTCCCACACAGCTTGCTTGTGCCACCAACTCCTCTTCCGTTGTCCTTCCAGCTGGTGCCCTTTGAACTCACAAATGTGGACTACATGATCTTTAACTTCTGCATCAAGGGCATGTTTGCAGATGGGGCCACCTCCTTACTCAAGACATTGTAAGTATAGACTGGAACAGTGTGGTGAGATCAGTGCCATCTATGAAATCCTCCCTAGGGTCTGGCTAGCATCCAGATATGGGTAGCAGATCTACTGGATGTAGACAGTGGCAGATACGTACTGGGCTTTACCGGGGAGCTTACCATCGAGTGATTCAACTGAAGCTTGGGTCTGTTTGGGGCTGTTACCAGCTTTGACAGATGAAAGGAAACAGGCTGCTGATATAGATACCGTGAGAATCAGAGGAGCCCAGAGGAATGGAGCAAACCTCTCTTGTCACTTAGATATGCTGCTCAGAGGGGTTGGCCTTGTGAAAGCTGGTCTATCGTGATTGCTTCCTAACGCTGCTCAGCTAAACACCCTTTTCTCTTTCAGCAAAGGGGAGCTGGAGAAAAGCAGCCTGGGGCTGTTCTTCTGGTTGGCGAAGTCACCAAACTGGCTAAAAACTGTCCTCTTCTGGATTGCCAAACCCTTTGTAAGGTCCATTTATTTCTAGCATAGATGGAGTTAAGCAATAGGTGTTGAATAACTTGTCTCCCATTGCAGTATGGCTTTATCATAGAGAAGTCTCTAGGTGTTGCTTCCTGGTGTGCTTAGACACATCCCCAAACTGGAGCGATGCTATTTCTGTTCCTCCTCTCCCCACTTTGGGGAAAATCCACAATCCTGCCTGAGCACTGAGTCAACAGCTTGTATTTGTGATGGAGCTGCCTCAGAGGACATAGCTGGGATTAATGTAATTTTTTTTATCTTTTTTTCTACTTTCTCCTTCTCAGGTGCCTCGATTTTCAGATATCATAAGAAATATGAGAGCAAAGTGAGTAAATCTGAGCCTGAGCAAATGTGTGAAGATCTGGGTTTCTCTTTTGGAGAGCAGCAGTGTTTGCTACATTAGGGATACTGCCCCAGCCGCATGTGTTTGAGAAAATACAAGGCAGAAAATACAAGGGTGGGAGCAAACTGAGAGCAGTTTATGTCAACACCATAACCCTGCAGGGTTTGGCAAACTGTTCTAGCCCTGAGGATGGGAATGAGGGCCGGGGCCTCACAGCCTCTTGCTGAGGAACTGAATGAAGCTTGTGGGAACGAAATACAGTGTTGGCTTCAGCACTGATTAATGCATCCATCATGCCATGAGGTAGGGACCCCATAAGACGGAAGGAAGAATGCACAGGGAGGGAGGCTTGCTCTTCCTTGCTGCAATGTCAGCAGCAAGGGGTTGGGCAGGTGTTGGTGAGAAAGGACTGAAATCCCTTAGCAGAGAGGGTGTATTTTGTTCTGTGTCTCCAAGGCAGCACATCTGTCCCCACATCAAAGGATCAGTCCACCTCCCACAGCCTGGCCTTGGAGAAATGATGTGCTTGGGCTTCCACCTCCTCAACACTGCGGCAGTAACAGGGCTGGACACTTGTCAGGCCAAAGCAGCACTGCCCCAGTCTGCCTTTAGTCTTCAGCCCTCCATCATGAGCAGAAGCAGGAATAAGACCCCCAGCCCTTCAGAGGAAAGCCAGGACTTTGGCAAAGTCCTCTCTCCCCTTGGCTGCCCTTCCAGGAGCAGAGCTAACTTGTGCCCATCTGCTTTTTGATGCTCTTCCCCACCCCTAAGGCTGCTCTTTGCAGCACCTCTTCATGCCTTTCATTGGTTTTGTTTCCTTTTTCAGCACAGTGGATGAAATCTGGAGTCTTCATCATGAAATTGAGGTAAAGTATTGCAATTTGGGGTTAGATAGTTTTTGGTTTATTTCTCTTTGGGAAGAGGTAAGTCATCTCCACCAAGTCTAGGAGATGATCAAGTCACTGGTGATGTGAGGTAGGAACATACGTCACTCCTCAACAGATCTCACTTGGATGTGCAACTTCTCAGCACATTTAAAGATTAGCACGACATGTAGACACATTCATGGTCCCAAATCAGACCTGAATTTTTCACCCCTACACTTGAAAATGTAGGCCATCAGCTGCAGCAGACTTGCCTTTATTTCCATTCTGGTTTTCTCAAGACCCATGCCCATGTCCCAGATTGCCATGTGCCCCTACATTCAATCTTTCCCCACCTCTAGTTTTAGCGGGGTGTGTGTGTGTGTGTGTGTGTGCTTTGTATGCTGGGAGGGCTGTTGGCCAAGCAGCAAAGGTTTGCTAGATTTTAGCAGGATTGAGCCCAATGTAGCCTGATGGCTGCTGCTGGGGAAGGGCTGAGAGCTCGGCTGGGCACCCAAGGAGAGCCTCAGCCAGCAGCCATGGGATGGTACATCCACCCTGCTGACCACCAGCACGTTTCCTCCTCAGGAGTTTTGCTACCAGTTCATCAACCAGTGGAAAAAGCTGAATCTGGACGTCATGCTTTGTCCCATGCTGGGCCCGGCTCTTGGCATCGGCTACCCTGGGAAGCTCTCAGGTAGGACTGCTGTTGAGGGACCTTTGCCTCTGGCATGCCCCTGCAGCAGCACTCCACCAGCATCTGTGAGAAGCATTCCTCCTCCTCCTCCCCTCATATCCCCAAGGCGCCAGGCAGCAGTGAGAAGAGCTCGGCTCTTGGGGCAACCCCAGCCCCAGCTCATGGAGTACACCCAGGACAACTCCCCCCAGTGCATTTGGGAGCCAAAGGGCAGGTTTCCATCCTGCAGCCCTTGAGTTCCCAGTGCAAGCGCCCCGTTAGCTGGAAGCTTGTGTACACGGTGGAGATGAAGGCTTTCCCTGTGTCGGGCTGGCACTGTGAGCTCCCCCTCTCCCCCAGTGGCAGTTAGCTACACCATGCTCTACAACGTCTTGGACTTCCCCGCCGGTGTGGTCCCTGTCACGATGGTGACAGATGAGGATGAGGAGGAGCTAAAGGGCTACCGGGGGTACTTTCGGGACTGGTGGGACCGGACCCTGGCAAAGGTGAGTGGCGCCAGGTTCCCCAGGGGTGTGAGCATCCCCATCCCTTCCCTGGACATCCGCCCCCTGCCCTCTCTCCCTCTATTTGTGCCATAGGCTTTTCGCGGCAGCGTGGGGCTGCCAGTGGCTGTGCAGTGCGTGGCCTTGCCGTGGCAGGAGGAGCTGTGCCTCCGGTTCATGAAGGAGGTGGAGACGCTCATCCTGAAGAAAAACCAGCTCATCTGAGTCCAATGTGCCCATCCGGAGCAGGATGCCAGCTAACATCAGCGCAGGGCATCCTTCGGTCTGGCTGGCCTGCAGGACTCGCGTTCCCCTCCGCAAGGAGGCAGTGGTGTTCTCAACACCCCCCAGGGAAGAGCAAGAACATGGTCTTTCTCTTACAAGTGGGGCAACTGAGGCACAGGAACTGGTTTTGTCCAAGACATTCGGACTCCTACTCAGAGTACTGTAGGAAAAAGGGATTTTCCCCTCCATTCGCAGTTCCCTGAGGACAAAAGCCGGTGTTTTCCCTACCACAGACGAGCAAACCAAGGTCAGAGCTGAGCCTGGCTGCAGGCTCTGGCAAGCAGGGAGGAAGCTGGACCGCTTCCCATGGCGCAGGGCTGCCAGCACCCTGCACGCCACGGGGGGGAAATCTGCAGGGATAACTACTGCCCGTCTCCTCCAGACACCTCCTCCCGCTTTCCCCAGAGCAGAGGTATGAAGTGCTTCAGCTCGCCCTATTGCACATATAAAGCAGCGTGCCAGGGTTGGACGGACAGCTGGACAGCCTGCCCTGCACACCCTCTTCTCCCGTTTGGCGGAGGGGCCCATGCCAGGTTTTCCAGTGGGGTTTTCCAGCTGCTGACATGGGGATTGGCAGCACCTGCTGCTCCCGGCAGGTTTTCAAGGGTGCTCCAGAGAGGGATACCACGATGCAAAAGGGTTTTCCCAGGGTAGCAAGGTCACAAGTGGATTGTAACGAAGCTCTGGCAGGATTTCTTCTTGGGCTTTTTCAATGTGTTATTCTTGTTTAAACTGAAGTCGTGCAAAAGCATGGGATCTTTTCAAGGGCTGGGCCAGAGAGGTTTATCCCAGCCTAGGAGAAAGCAGCCCCCAGGACCCTGATCCTTTATCAGCAGGCTTTGAAAGAAGGAAGGAGGGAGCTCCAGGCATCCCAGGACTGAATGCTATGTAGAGGCAAGCCCCAGAAGAGCACGGGTGGGGTTTTTCACCAGTTGCAGGTGCTCCCTGCCCACACAGAAAATGCTGGATGGGGTTTATCTGTTTGCATTTTAAAATTCAAGCCTGAAGGAGCTTGTCCCAGGAGAGGCAAAGCCCCCTGCGCCCATGCTCCCGAAGAGCCAGGCGCCGCAGCGCTCTGTTAGTTTAACCGCTCTCTCCTGCAGAGGTGGGCAGGGTGCAGGAGTCCAAACGACGGAGACACCGGTGGACCTGAACCAGTAAATGCTCCTCACTGGCAGCCCTGAGCGAAGACCTCCAGCGAGCCATGCCCACTGCCACGGGACAGTGCACCGGGCAAGGCCAAAGCTGCTGTGTGGCTCTGGGCACTTGAGGTTGCCAAAAAGGGCCAGCTGCAGGGCTGCTCCCAGCCCAGCCTGGATACAGGGATGTCAGTGTGAATGGCAGCATGGAAGCTTAAGGATGGGATGGAGCAATGAAGACCACATCCCCACGGCCAGCGGTGAGAAGTGGTGACATCCATGTTGAGGTGTTTGGCTCTTTTTGCTCTCTGTCCTGGCTGAACAGGTAGGATCCTCCTTGCCTTTGCAGTCAGCAACCAATTTTTCTATGAGGTCTTGCTTCTTCCTCAGTCTCCCTCCCTGCTGCCACGGGAATAATCCCAAGGGACGCGTCTATAACAGGCAAGGTAACACGATAGCAGCACGATCACTGGCTTTCAGTCACCAAACAAGGTATCTCCACCAGAGAGCTATGATTACCCCGGATACAGCCTGCTTACAAGCTCAGTTACCCTACTTGGAGCAGAGCCAGCATCTCTCCAGATATAGCAATGCTGCCTTGCATCTTGGCAGTGAATTTTCAGACACATCTGTTCCTTCCCTGTAGGCTTGCAGACCCCTGAGGTTGGAGAGAAGTTTGATTTTTCAGTTCCTCCTTTCTGTACTCCTGGGGACAGTCCCATGGGTGGGGAGCACCCATGGCAAGGGGCAGCTCCCGGGGCTGGCAAGGCTGTGTAGTCCAGCTCCTTCACCTTGTGCTGGCTGAAAGATGGCTTAGAGACTGCAGAGCAGATAGGACACTGGGTCCATCAGGGAGGATTTTTCAAAAGTGCTCACCCCTGTATCTGGGTTGCCAAAGAGCTTTTCGAAGGGGCTTTGCTTGAAAATGACACAGAGGTTGTACTCCTTGAAGGCATCTTCAGATGGCTCCTTCCACACTGCCTTTCCAAAGTTGCTGTGTCCTGCTTGCACCTTCATACGCTTTCATTCTCCTGAGCTCCCCCTTCTCCCCTAGGTGCAATTTTACCCCCTGCACCAGGTTCCCCAGGACAAGCAGAGCTATGTTGTCCCCGGCTGCATGTGCTGCTGCCTGAGGGACAGAGGTGATGGCTGAGCACCTCTAGTTAATGGCCTGAAGTGCCAATTAATTATTAGATGTGGGTATAGTAGGGATAGCCCAGACCTGGGTTTTGCAGCATTCAGCTTTGTTCAGTGACTCTGTCGCCTGTGTGTAGCTGGGTACAGCAGCATCCAGTGTCTTGGAGACACAGCCTTGGGGGACTGGGGACCCCCCCCTCGCTCCCAAACCCAGTGTGAGCTGAGCACGCTGCTTTGCAGCCCAACCCACAATGCTTGTCCAGCAGGCAGACCTTTTCAAAGTCCATGGTCTAAAACATCCATTCCTGGACTTTGTTAATGCAACTGTGCTTCAGAGCTGATCTCGCATAGCAGGCAATCACCCAGTCTGCATTCATCAGCCCTCCTTAGGAGAAGGTGGGAGACCCAGGTGTCCATAGCTGGACCAGAGCAGGAAGGACTGGGAGAGAAATCATGACCCAAGAGCGACTGTGGCAGGTCCTAGATCCATCATGGGGAGACCCTCGTGCCCTCTCGGCTCTGCTCTGCAGTTCAGCTGCAGCCGTTGTGCTGCTGAAATGGCTGGGACGTAGGCAGATCCAGCAGAAGATGGAGGAGGCGAGAAGGATGCGGGATCTGGCCCTGGAGCGAATGGAGAAGGCAGTTCACAGGTTTAAGCAAGAGGTAATTTGGGGATTTGGGGCGGGGGGGAGGGAAGCGTGTGCAGGAGGAAGAGATTGTATTTTGGGTAACCAAAGAAATGGGGGACAGCTGATCAATGCCTCTTTGAATGGTGGTTAGGGCATGTGCACGTTTGGGATCATCACCAATTTTTTTGAGGGTCACCACCCTCCATTGTCACTAAAAATCCTCCTGTAAAGACAGAGTAAAGGAAGTATTTCTTAATACAGACCTATCGAGGGAATCCTGAGGATGAAAGATGTATCAGAGTTTGGGACGTTCTGAATCAGGTCACCACCCCAGACCTCCCTATGCCCTTTTCCCCTCATCCGTCCCTACTGCCAAGCCTTTCCTCTCCCATCCTCCTTACCTCTGCCCCTCCATAGGGACCTGTCTGCCCCATCATCCTCAATGGGTGGGGGCTTCACATCCCTCCAACATCTGCACATCGGTGACCAAAAGCCATTTCCCCATGCCCAGGTAAAGACACATCTGGATTTTAGGAGGGCAGGTCCTTGGATTTGGGATTTGTCTTAAACCCATAGTAAATATCTACTGCTATGCTTTCCTCGGGGTGAAAGGTTGCAAACAGCCCACACACTTTTTTTTTTTTTTGCCATGTTAATGATAAATTTTGTAAAACTTTAGCTGGTTGAACTGCTATTCAAAACATCATTTATGAGTTAGAAGGAGGGTGAAGGCCTTCAGGAGGGTAAACAGACAGGTCAAACCTCTCTTACAGGTTCATGCAACTCTCCAGTCAAGAAGCAGTTTTCTGCCTGTTTTGGTTCTGGTTTTATGAACTAAGACTCAGCAAATTCCCCATCAGCAAATTCGCCACTCCAGCACATGTAGTGCTGTGTGGGAGGTCTGCATTTCTACAGGGAATGTCTCCTAATATTTGCCATTCAAGGCCATTTCTGGGCAGATGTTAGAATTGGGTATTTGCAGCCTCACCACCAGCCTTTTCTGTCATTTTCTTCCTTCTGCACTCCCTTTCCTACCCTTTGCAGAACCCAGGCACCCAGACTGCACATGTCCTCTCGCTGACGATGGTGGAGCTGGTGGAGAAGCTGAAGGAGGGGTCCCTGTCCCCAGAAAGTGTCCTCTACTCCTACATGGGCAAGGTGAGCAGTATCTCCAGCATGGGAGAGATGCTGCAGGGCTCTTCTGCAGTGGGGGCTTTCAAATTAAAATACAGCTCATTTGCTGAGAAAACTGGCAATGCTGGGGATCACAATTTGTCAGTACTGTGATGTCTGAAGGGTGGCTTATGGGCAAATAAATAGGACATAGGTCCAGGGCAGAAATTTATCCCAGCATGAAACATCTAAAGTTTATAGGTAAGGTCTGAATAATGAATGATGGAGGTTTGAGGAGATTTGAGTTTTCAAGCTGAAAATTCATTTAAATGCTGTTTCCTTCCTTCCTTCCACTCATTCATCTGTCTTGCTGCTCTTCTCTGTTCTGGAGAGGCTTTGGAGGTGAATCGGGAGGTGAACTGTGTGATAGACTTCATTCAGGGCTGCGAGGATCAGCTCCAGAAACTGAAGAAGCAGAAGGAGAAGGGGCTGCGTCAGCATCAAGGACCACATTAACTGCAAGGTACATCCCTAATCCCCCTGCCTCTTGGCCTGGGGCTGGGAACAGGCCGGGATGTTCCATCCTCATCAGGACTGGAGAAGTTTCCTCAGATAAGGATGTTCTGGACTAAATATTGTGGGACCAGCAAACCTGCCTTTCTTATGATGAAAGTTTTGGTTTATGCAGAAATTTCTAATCTGCTCTGATCTGGTTTTCCCTGGGGTAGTCAGGTCTTGTTCTGCCTGTGATGAAAGTTAGGTGGGAACTTTGTCACAGGAGGCATCAGCACTTACATCTGTTATTGTCACTGCTCCAAACAGTATCTTTCCTGGTACCTAAAGACCTTTGCTTCCCGTCCCCAAGGGCCACGTCTCCTCTGGAGGGATGGTGAAGTATCTGGGCCAAGTGAAGGAAGAAGAC